TTTTTTTTAATTTCGTGTATTTCTATATCTCTGGGCGCCTTCCAGGCAGGGTGAGGGGTGTGCTGGTGTACTGACTGCCGTGAGACACCCCGGGCATGCTTGAGGGCCTTGTAGGTCTCAGTAAGCCTTTTCCTCGGTTTGCAGGGCAAGGATGAGTCTGTTTGGATCAACGTCCGGGTTTGGTACTGGAGGTACCAGCATGTTTGGCAGTACGACTGCAGATAACCATAATCCAATGAAGGTATGTGCGTGAGCCCCGGTGGGAACCACTGTTCTGCTGCTGAGTTTTAAAGCGTCACAGCAGTACCTACTGACTCACCCTATGGAAGTAATGGGATCTCAGTGCACAGTTTGCAAATGTGCCTGATTTTGCTTTGTCTTCTGTCCTTTGTAGGATATTGAAGTAACATCTCCACCTGATGATAGCATATCTTGTTTAGCATTTAGTCCACCAACATTGCCGGGTAATTTCCTCATTGCAGGATCATGGGCAAATGATGTAAGTACTCACAATCAGACCTTACAGATTAATAAAGTGGGAGCATTGGTGCCTAAACTGCATAAATGTGATCCTAAAAACTCGTGTCAGGGCAACTGAAAATCTTCGTCTTTGCAGAACTGCAAAATTTGTGTCTGGTAGCAAGGCACTAAGTTTGACATAGCTGAGCTGCTTCAACTGAAAAATTCAGTTGTGATCTTCAGATGAGTCGTTGCTCTGTCTGTGTGTTTTAAGCATCAGATTGGAACATGTAGCCAGTGTTTTCCTGGTTAGATTTTTATTATTTTGATATTTCTTTTCCTACTCGTTTGGTTTTTAGCTTCATTGTCTTACATGGTTAGGCTAACATAGTTGCGCTTTGCCCGGTGAAAGAACCATGAACCCAGTGGCAAATAATCCAGTTTGACAGTCTAGTCTCAAAAAGATTAAGTTCCTACAACGTTGCTGAAGTTTGTTTGGATTGAAGGGTGAGATCCCAACTGGCACAAAGAGGGAGGGGAAGACAAATCTGAGTGCATTTTTTAGTTCTGTTTGGTCTGTTGGCCAGCAGCCTGCAGCAGACAGCTGCTTCCTAGCTGACGGTTTAGGGTTCTGCAGGAGAGCACTGGGAGGTGTATGTGATCGTAAGGTACTTTTGAGTTGGGGTTGGAGTTGTGGGATTGTTGTGGCTGTACAGATAAAAGGAACATAATCAGAGAAAATAAGGTTTCACTAGTTCTGAAAAAAGCTTGGTGTTTATAATTGTACTTTTCCTTGGATAAACTAAGGCTGGGATCTTCGAGAAAAATCTTTTATGTTCTTAGTGTTAATATGTTATGTCTGTATACGCTTCTCCTGTTACAGGTTCGCTGCTGGGAAGTTCAAGATAATGGACAGACAATTCCGAAGGCTCAGCAGATGCACACAGGGCCTGTACTAGATGGCTGCTGGAGTGATGTATGTTCCTATTTAAAAATAAATAAACGTTTTTTACCAAAACCTTAAATAAATTGGTATGTGGTTTCCAGATAGACACAAGTGCCACATGTAGATGCAGACCGTGATTATTATATAGACTTATGTTACTGTAAACATGTGCTAAGCATGTCCTAATAGAATAGACTAAGATGGGCATAAGAAGAGTAAAAGTGAGTTTAAAATAATGTGTTTAAAGCTAGATAATAGCTAACACAGTTTTCTCTTTTACGACATACAGTCGTAAATAAATTTCCATTTTTATGTTCTTTGTCTTACAATCCCTCTATATGTTACATTAATGTTAATGCTATTACTAGAAGAGAATAAGACTTGTCAGCTTTCTAATAAATACTGCATGATAGAGGTATTTAATCTTTTGGCCTTATTCTTGTTTCTTAGGATGGGAGTAAAGTATTTACTGCTTCCTGTGATAAAACTGCCAAAATGTGGGATCTCAACAGTAATCAAGCTATTCAGATTGCACAAGTAAGTAAGCAAGCCCCAAGCTATTAGGTGGGTTTTTTCCTTCTCTATTTTTATTCAAAGTTACCTTTATTAGCAAATTAAGCTACTCTTCAGTGCTTCTGAAGTAGATACTGCTATATAAAGAGGTTGTAGGGTGCTTTTTGTATTTTTGAGGTAATGAAGTGCATATGAATAAGGAGACTTGCAGTCAAAGTGATCTGAATAACCTGTGCAGCTGTTTCCTCTATTTTACTTGAGAGCTGTTTCCATTGCTGCTGTGATCTCACTAAGTCACCCTGTTGCTTTATAGGGGAGAAAAAAAAATTAAGAAATCATTGAATTCACTTTCACAAATACCAGCTTTCTGCTGTAGCAGTAGCAGGGATTATAATTTACATTCTCAATTTAGAAGTGAATGTCTGTTCATAGAAGATTTAGTTATGGTGTCTAAAATGAGATACCAGTCACATAATTTAAGAGAGTTGGTCCTTTTAATGGTTGCTTCTTGTATCTTATTTGAGGTGATAAAATTCCGATTCTTAGCCTTGATTTTAAAACCTTGTTGGTGTAATTAACATAGACCTTTCTTCTGTAGCTCTTGTCAAAAGCAGCTGGTTTTTATATTGGTTTGTAATAAATAACATGCTATATTAAAGTGTTGATTTTTAGCATGATGGATAATATCCTTTATAAATAAATACAAAGTCCTACTGTTCATCATTTATATTTCTGCTGTGACCGTCTTCCTATGTAGGGTGACTTGACTGTATTTCTTTGTGTCAGGAACCATTTTTTCCTTATGTGGGTGATTTTACAGCACTAACCAACACAACAAGGTCATGACCAACCTTTATCCTAACTGCTGTGACTAAAATAGTGAATCAGTTTTCTTGAATGGATTAAAAGTGTCTGTGCTCCTCATATTTTTTGTATGTGTTTACAAGAAATGTGGACTGTTATCTTAGTAAATGTATGTGTGTTTGTCCTTCTTTTCTTCAGCATGATGCTCCTGTGAAGACAATCCATTGGATTAAAGCACCAAATTATAGCTGTGTGATGACAGGAAGCTGGGATAAAACTTTGAAGGTATGATTTTTACCTGAACAAATGGACACAAAGTGTGCTAGTAATCTGTGAATGAAAATACTTATGTGAAATGAAAATATGTTATTAAAACACTAATACAAAAAGCAGATTAATGAAATAGCCTCACTTCACAGAGAGTGGCAGTATTCTGACTATACAATGAAACAACTTGGTACCAATTGCATTCTCTTTACTAAAGTAATTTAGACAACGTATCCTCAACTCCAAGCGTAATTTTGTTCATTTCTCTGTTTCCATCAGTTCTGGGATACCCGTTCACCAACACCTATGATGACATTGCAGCTCCCTGAAAGATGTTATTGTGCAGATGTGGTAAGCCGTGATATATGGGAAACCAGTGTCAGCTAGATGACTGGGAGTATGAACAAACTGTCAGTCTTTGAGGCTTCTGTAGGTTACCACTAAATACCGACTGTTAGTATGGAATCATAGAATAGTATTCAATCTCTGTGTGATTTTAGCAATGAAACATAAATTGATCTTCTTGATCAGGCTCTGGAAAACAGGTATTTGCATGATACAAAACATGCTTGGTGTTCTTTTAACGTCACAAAACCAAATCAGCACTAGGACTGACCTACCCTCATTTCTGGATGAGTTTGCATTACCGTTATTGCGATTCACATTGGAAGGGTCAGCTTATAACTGAAGATTTTTGGTATGTTTAATATGTCAATGGCAGGGAAGAACTGATTTGTTTTGTCTGAAGATATGTCTACAAATGAACTTTGTTCTTTTTCTTCATTCCCTCCCCCCCGCCCCCCACCCCGAAAATAGTCTAATTCTTTTTACTACTTCAGGAATTTCTGTGAAATAATAAATAGAATTCTCTGCCATGCTCTTAACACAACCTGTTTTACAACCTTATTCAGGTTCATCCTATGGCTGCTGTGGCCACTGCAGAAAGGGGTTTAATAGTTTATCAGTTAGAGAATCAACCTTCTGAATTTAGAAGAATAGAATCGCCTCTTAAACACCAGGTAAATTATTATATTTATTACAAGCGTATTTATACAGATTATTGAAATTCTGGGCTTGCCATTTCTTTGGTAAAAACAAACAAACTGAACTTTGGTGTTTCAAAACCAAAGTCCTGTATCATGGTATGGCACATGTCCTGGTTTGCCATTGATGTATTGCTGATCTTCATAAGGATTTGGAAACGTAAATACTGTGGCCTAAATTCTCAGTAGAATTTGACCTATCTCTTGACCTTGTTTGTGTTTTTACTTTACTTTGCATTGATGTATGTGATGTTTTGTGTCCCTGTGGAAAATAGACAGCATTCAGAAAATCTAGCACTTGGGCCTCTGTCTAAAATTATCTTTCTCAAATTTAGCATCGCTGTGTTGCTATTTTTAAAGACAAAGTGAACAAACCTACTGGATTTGCCCTTGGAAGTATCGAAGGAAGAGTAGCAATTCATTATATCAATCCCCCAAATCCGTAAGTATCACTTAATAAAACATCTTTTCTTCATTGCTCAGTTTACAATGAGTAAAGTAAAAAGACTTTTTTCCCCCCCACCAGTGCAAAAGATAATTTCACATTTAAATGTCATCGCTCCAATGGAACAAACACATCAGCACCTCAGGATATCTATGCTGTAAGTATTCAGCATATACCACTAGATCTTTTATACAGGGCAATATACACTCTTAATGTAAAATTGGCTATGAATTGTTTGTTCTCCTTAACTTGAGGCAACATAAAAGGTCATCTTAGATGTGTGTTTAAAGACCAGTCATAGTCATTCCTTAAGAGGAAAGGCAAATTTTTGTACTTCCTTTAAAACACACACCATATGAACCATTCATTAAATCATCTTGGTAGAGATGACACTTGTTAATTTTGCTGATACTGAAGCAATATTTAATATGTTTGTGTAATGGGATTATGCATTGAATTTTTAGGTAACACAAAAAAGGTGATGCTTTCCCTGTTGCTTCGGTGGGGTTTTGGGGTTTTTTGGTTTGTTTGTTTTTTTTTTCCAGAGAACATATCTGAAAACATTAAAAAAAAAAAACAAACCTCTATCTAGTTGTAAAAAATCTTTCCTGTGTATTTACTCTCTCAGGATTCAGCATGTGCTGTGAATGTTTCCATGTGTGATGTTTTACATAGTGTTTGTAATGATTCTGCAGGTAAATGGGATAGCATTTCATCCTGTCCATGGTACACTTGCAACAGTAGGATCTGATGGTAGGTTCAGCTTTTGGGATAAAGATGCACGAACGAAGCTAAAAACATCAGAACAACTTGACCAGCCGATATCTGCTTGTTGCTTCAACCATAATGGCAATATATTTGCATATGCTTCCAGTTATGATTGGTCAAAGGTAAGAAAGGTTTAGACTCCTGTACATACTTGCATTTGACAACCAAGACTATCCTTTTCACGGGAGGCTTTCACTGTCCTTTATAAATAGTAGCTGAGTCTTTCTAATTCCACAAGCATGCAAGAGAACTTACACTGGTCATTTTAGGCATCTGATGAAATTTAACACTGAAATAGTGCCTTCTTTGGTTTTTAGCTTCAGCTGGATAAGATTGCTAAACAGTGGTATTTTGCAAATATGGATGAGCAAAATGTAAATTACATAATTCAGAAGTTATCCTGGTTGCTCACACACATTCTGCTGTGGGGAGTGTCATGGGGCAATATGGCACCCTAACAGGTTCCCACAAATCTGATTGAAATGCACATCTCTGCTGCTTCTGTAGATTCTCTTTAACTTTAAAAAAAACTGTGGCTGTAGTTATAAACACTTAAGCCAGTGTTTGAATGCTGCGTACTAAATTTCCAGTACCACTCAGTGCAGCTTGCTGCTGGCACTTATTTTCTTATATCCCAAACTTCACTCAACAATAAATCATACCGATGCAAGAGAAACACAACAAACCATAATATGTGGAGAATCAATACTTCTTAATAGTTTAAGAAGGTGGTAGCAAGGTTGAAATGTAACTGATTTTAATGGAATGGCAACTTCCATGAAAAGCATTGCTTTCCTAATGCTTTTAAATTTGAGGATAACATTCCTTGTGGTTTTGACTGAAATGAATGCAGAAATCACACAGATGGACTTGGCTGCATGCCACAAAGAGAGCAAAATTTTAATTTATTGCACTGTATGTAGTCTTCTGAATACTACCTGAAGTAAGATAACTCTGTTATGTGCTAGGGCAGATGAATTCTTCTCTTGTAAATGCTTGGGTAGGCTGCAGTGGCAGATACATACTGAGGTATCTTTCAGATCTGTAAACCAATATTAAGTAGTAAAACCAGTAGGTACTAAATTTCCTCTCTAGAACCATTTCTGTCAAGTGGAGTTGGTAATTTTCAGGTTGTGTGTTGGACTTTAATAGCTTTATTAGTGTTTACTTGCCCTGATTTGAATACTTGCATATTGAGTTGGTAATGTGTATGCAAAGAATGTCAATATGCAAAATAGTATATTTGCATCTGCAGTTGGGGAATGGAGATATTTTTGCAGTTGCCTGTAGAACTTGGGCTTCACTTCGAAAAAAATGTGACCTTATTTCAATTCAAAGATAGAATATATAAAGTGAAACTGGGTGGCCATTAAAGTTTTAGTTTCTTCTCTGCTGCTTCTTTCTTCTTTTCTTTAAATGACATTAAAAAAACCCCATATTGAGCTTTTATGCTGCATCTATAAAGCTTAGAGAGATGTGGGGTTTTTTTTATGAAAACTTTTTTATATCTTTTATATCTTTATATCTTATATAAGGATAAATGTCCCTTAAATTTTACGTTATATGCACAGTTCTTCTGATTACTTGTTATAGTAAGCTGTTTCTAATCCACCAGTGTTGTCCAATATCTGGTCTTAAAGACTTTAAGATTAAATATTAATAAACCAAGCTAATGGAATATTCATATTCTTACATTTTAAGGCAATGCTGATATTTCTTCTTTGAAGAGAGTAAATACAGATGATTTTTCTTTTTAGGGTCATGAATTTTATAATCCACAAAAGAAAAACTACATTTTTCTGCGAAATGCAGCAGAAGAGTTAAAACCTAGGAATAAGAAGTAGTGAGTATGAGTCTGACTTGTGTTACTCTACTGCTTTTCTGCCATTCCTGCCTCTGCTTCACTGCTCTTCTGCCATTTGTGCCCTATTGCATCATGGTTCAGTCAACTCTGGATCGCTAACATTGAGCAGGAACTGTGAAAATTACATCGAATGTATTCTGACTTGCTGGAGAACATTTTTTCAAACTAGATATTCCTATGTGTATAAGGAAGAGAGGCTAGTATTGACGTGACTTAACCACTGTCTGTTCCACAGCAATAAGGAAATTGCAGCAAAATCTAAATCTGGGTTAGATACTCCTGCTTAGAAGTGCAACCATTTGTATCTATGGATTTATTTTATTAGTACTACATTTAAGTATGTTAACTATAATAGTTCTGGAGAAGTTGTATAAATACTGTATTTTTTGTAAGTACTTGAAGAATTGCAAGTAATTCTTCTCTAAGGGAGGCTTGTTATTACTTATTCAGGGGTTCTTTCATTGCTTTCTGATTTGTTTAAAATGGAAATGTTGTCTACTGTATGCCAGGAAGAGATGCTTTGCAAATTGTTTTCCCTCATTTTTTGGATGAATTTGGTAGGTATGCAAGTGGCCAACAGCAGTGACAGAAACTCGAGACAGAAGATGGGCACAGTGCGAACTTACATTCCAGCAATGGACATGACTTTTGAGCCAGCGATACTCATGCTTATTCTAATCCAAAGGAAAAATTATCAGTTGTGCCAAGTGATATATAGTTCAGTAATACGAGCAAACCGTTCAAGGGTTTGTTTTATTCATGACCAAACCAATGTGTGCAAAATACTCGTGGCCTAAACTGCTTTAAAACTGACACCTTTTAACTCTAAAATTCATTCTTTTACATCTCTCTTAACATGTTTTTGTCCCTTAACAGGGGTTTCTGGACTGAAAAAAAGTACTCGTTTTTGTATTGACTAGAAAACAGTGCTGGTGATTTTCATCCTGATCAAAAATGCTGTGAAACAAAACAAGTGGGTTTCTCTCTGACTTGAATCTACCACTGTTTACTTTTAAATAGCCAGTTGTATACATACCAAAGTTTTCTTTTTAGAAGAGAATACTTATTATTCCTGTTTAACTGTTGTTTGTTTGATAATGACTAAATAAAAATGGGGGGTGCATGTATAGAAATACCTGTCATTGTACAAATCTCTGTAAACCTGTATGTTGTAACGCTTATGGTTATGGATTCATGCTACGTTTCAAATAAAATTTTTACTAAATGCTTTTTTCTATTCAGAAGTTCTGTTATAATAACATGGGCGAGGTGGTGTGCTTCACTTCTAGAAGCAGCTTCTTGTCCTTCCACTGTGATTCAGATACATTTTCTGAAAGTAAAGTACTTTTCCTCCAGCTGCTTGGGCTGGAAATGTAATGCTTTTTCCAGTTGCTGTTTCATTATGAATGATTCCTGTGGTTTTGTGTCAAAGAATTAAGAGGACTAGTGTGAAAGGCCTTTTGTTTTATGAGAATGAATCAAGTTCCTTGCTAGCTCAACAGCCAAACACCTGACAGTTTGTCTTTAGTACAAATGAATCATTCTATCTTCAAACTCTCTGTAGCCTGCTGGTCCTTTAACTTCAGACTCTTCTCTTAATGGTGTTCATCAGTTTTTGTTGAGTTTATATTTCTTGGTTTTGTATAGTTGTATGGTTGAGGAAAGTCCATGAAATATACTCTGCTCTTGCTTCCTGGGTTTTATTTCTCAAGTTAGTTTTTTTCCTGATAGCTATATGTTTTATATGGTTTTAGATTTCACATTCATGGCCTATTTGTTTTCTTTAGGATAGGAGAGAGTTCCCAGCAGTTACATCAACAGCTGGTCATTTACTCAAACATTTCTTTTGTTTTTGTTGAATTTTATTTTTAAAGGTTGTGATTGTTGTGCTGTAATCTTTGCTTGTTAGCATATTTCTCCAGTCTTCCCAGGCAAATGAATGCCACCAGGCAATTGCAGGCTCAAGGTTAAGTGTGTGTGATCATTGATGGCAAAAAAAAAGTAAATTTCTAATCTCTTGAAGAACTCCCACTGGTGTAAACAGGGAATAATGGAATGTATCATCTGTTTCTTTTTTTAAAATATTTAACAGTGTGAATGAGTAATGAGAAAATAGATTCACTCTGGTTCAG